TTGTTTAATTATTTTGCGGTCTAGATTTCTTAATTTTTTTTCTTTTTTGCGTGTGTTTATAAATTACCTCGAGGGCCATACCAAATGGTCCTGCGGGCCAGGGACGTGCACAGGTACGGGCTAATGTTGCCCGGGCAACGGCTGGTTTCCCCTTTTTGGCTGACCTGCCCCTCTGGAGAGAGAGGGTTTTTTTTTTTTTCCTGTTGTGGTCGAATCAACATGATAAGCCACAATTAGTATTGTAGTGTCTCGCTGCGGGAAAACCATGGATGTATAATAAAACACACCAGCTTCATTTTTCTTCTACTACTTCTTCTTCTTCTCCTTCTTCTTACATGTAATTGCCCGCGACATTTTGAATAAAGAACTTGTGTGTGAACTCATTCCACAGTATGACCACAAAAGTGTTTTAAACCAGGTATACCTACGTTTTTATTATTTATGTTCTATATCGCTAAGTGTGTGATTACACATGTTACGTATTATAGCCATGATTATAGTCTATATATTGTTGAACTTTCCTGTCGGCTCCCAGACCGTGGTCGAGGAAACAGGGGGGATGACTCTCTGTCGTCTCCCAGCCAGGGAAGAAGCAACACGCTTCGGGTTCAATAACCCACTTTATAAAATGACTGGAGAGAGGCGAGCTCTTCTTGGGAGGTCGTTGCATTTATTTTGCTCTTCTGTTTCACAAGATACATCACAGACCTATGCTTTTTCCTGCTGCCTCGTTTCATTTCCAGAAAACATACACCGCTCGCTCACTCTCGCTCTACCATACCCACATGCACGCACCACACCCCTCTCTTAAAGGGGTAGCGATCTCACTCTGCATGACCCTAATGTCATAACAATATCATATGTATTATACTGTATTGGTGCCGGTGCGTTAAGACCACCTCCAGAAGTCGGATTTTGGAAAATGGATTTTGAGTTTTCTCATGGCGGGACTTTACTTCCTCTTGACACCGTCGGTTATTTACAAAAAAAACACCTATATAGTTGTTATTGTGCTTCTGTCTTTCTGTGTCTTTTCATCTGCTCCGTAAACTCCTATTAAACATCCATGAGACGGGCCGCTCGCTCTCTTCTCTTGATCAACCTCTCACAGGAGAACACTTCACTGCCCCGCTTCATTGTAGGATTTCTGCCATGTCTACTTTAGTTTGACCATCTCTGTTATTAAGTTATGGAATACTAAATAAATAAGTAATTAGATACCTTACCGTTACTGCGCTCATAAAGAATGATAAGAATAAGAATAATGCGTATTGAACTGGTTTCATTAATTAGTGAGTTTATTTAAGGTAATTATAGAAGCCCTATGTTATCAGTAGCCTATGTCTGCACAGCAGTTATAATAGTCAAACTACATTGAATTGTCCCCATTTTTTCTTTAGTTACTAACATTAGATATTTTAATGAGATATGGACCGCAAAACAAAAAATGTCCCTGGTTTTCATTTTAAAAATCAAGGTACCGAATGCAAGTAGTCGCCTTAGCTTATTTTGTTATGAGATGATGATGTGAATTACTGTTCAAATTAGTTAATGTAATAATCGTTTTGGTCTTATATTTTTTTTCGGGGGGATGCCCTTTTTCCAGTTTAGAGCAATAGTCCCCTCCAAATGTCTGTGCACGTCCCTGTCGCGGGCCGTATACGTCCCGGGGGCCGGAGGTTCCCCACCCCTGGTTTTTGGCACTACAGTATGCTGCAGTGTGGGTAGTTGAAACGGTAATATAAAAACAAGCATATTGTTTTTCAAATTAAGATGTTTTTTTACACCATTTCTCCAATTAACCAACATATAAGTCCATACTGAAAGAAAACTAATTTGTTGCAGTTCCACATTGCTGGACATTATTAATATGCACTATATATAACTATATTCGTCCGTCAAAGAATCAACTTCAAAGTCCTCCTCATTACTCACAAAGCCCTCAACAATCAGGCCCCCCCCCCTACCTCACAGACCTGCTGCACCACCACACCCCTTCCCGCTGCCTCCGCTCATCAGAAGCCAACCTCCTATCCATCCCCACCCACACCAATCACCGGACCTGGGGGGACAGAGCCTTCTCCGTCGCTGCCTTCTCCGTCGCTGCCCCCTCCCTCTGGAACTCACTCCCACAACCCATCAGAGACTGCACTGACCTCACCACCTTCAAAAAACTCACAAACTCACCTCTTCAATCTGGCTTTTAATGTGTGATTGTTTTTGTATTATTTGACTTTAACTTTAACTATATATTTATTTGTTGTTCCTTTATTTTATTTTCACTATATCTGTAAAGCGTCTTTGAGCACCTGTAAAAGCACTAACAAAATAAATATTTTATTATTATTATATAACTAGCTGCAATACAATAATATAGAAAAAGGGTCAAGCAAAACTCATTATAAAACACTAATGTAGCTTATGTCATTATGAAAAAACAATCTGGTGCACAGTAGGTGACCCATGGTATGATGAAAATAGCAATAGTTTCACAGGATTGAATTTGGATGGAAGAATTGTTATGCGAACATGTGTTTGTTGAGCAGACATAAAATCTGAGTGCCATCAGAAGCTTGAGCTTTATCAAAATAAAATAGAGTGAGACGGATATTATAGTGAACCCCAATTAATAACTGGGCCACCTCAAAATCATAACTGATTACTTAGCACTATAGATAATAAAGCAACATAAAAATGTAATGATCCTGCAGATGAAAACTTTATTGCCACAGGTAAACATGGCCTTTTACAGTGGTTAATGTCAAACAAGGGTAACGTCCAAACTCTTAGCTCCACAACTCTTTACCCTCTAAAGCGCAAAATTGTAATTTCTCGCAAATGATGGAACAAGACTTTGGAAGGCAATGAATTGTCCTTGAATATTTTTGTCTGAACAAGTGTTGGAAACCTGATAACACTCCTCAGAGGGGGGGGGGGGGGGGGGGGGGGGGGGGGGGGGGGGTCTGGCTGAGCCGGCCGGCTGGCACTGACACTGCCACTGGCTCTGCGATTAAGCCACGGGAGCCATTTTGGGGCTGATTATTCATGGTGCTACTGTACTGATGTTCCACTACACTGAATTCTCTCATTAGGTCATCCGGCTCTAAAGGCCATTACATTTTCAGTCAGCATGAATAAGTCAGAGAGTTCTGCCTCTGATCATGCCGTGCAAAGAGTCCCCAAACTCATCATAGGTGCTCTGCTGAAATATAAAAAATGAAACCCCCTCTCTCAGCACAGCGGTAACATTTTCTCAATTAAATATGTGAGAAGGGCAAGGGTTGGCGGCGGGTTATTTAACATTGTTTTTTTAAAGCTGAGCATGTGGTGCCAACAGACAGCATTTCCAAAAGTATCGATCAGAGATTTGCAGCGGGTAAATGACTCCCAAAGGGAGCACTGTAGCAATGCCAAGCCTCAGAATGTCTAACTGACTTAATGCAGATATAAATCGCCATTCCAATCAAGGCCTTTTTATTTGCGATCTTGAGCGATGCAATACGTCACCTGCGCTACTGCACGTTTTCGTCAATAAAACCCTGTCAAATCTGTTAAATGCATGCTGCATTGACGACATGATTTATAATGTTTCCTTCCAAGGAGGTACTTGGTGCTGCGGGTTGTTGGCTTGCCACAATTACTCATCATTGTTCTGTATTCCCTAGGGCCATTTTTTATGCTTTTCACATCGAGATGCATAAATAATGTCAAAAGGCACGAGCAATTAGCATTAATTAAAAATGAACTACTATTAAAGCCTCTACATTAACTAATAGCTTAAAAGGATTACCCCCCAATTGCTTTTCAAGAGATTGTTTAGACGTCTCATTTACAAAGTGAACAGCACACCAAATGGAACTGTTAATGCAATCAGCTAAAAAATGAAATTAAAAGAAACCATCAAGAGCATGGAGAGACATTAGAGAGAGAGAGGAAATGAACTGTTCACCAGCAAGGTAGTAGGCGAGATTTTCCAGAGCCCTCTGTGCAATAGAAAACATGTTTATTGCTGTTTGCTGCTGGCCAGAAAATGACCGGGGGAAAACAAAGACGAATGGAGCTATTGACTTCAAATACGACCCTTTGAAAGCAAAGCCACAGCCCTATCCATCGCCATCTATTGTATTCATGAGTGTGACCTGGGGGGGGTGAGATGGGGCTCGGGGGGGAGGTGATGGGTGCCCACCTGCTCCACTCAGCCTAAGACACTAGCTGCCAGGAGATCAAACAGGCCTCCTCGCTTCCCTCTGTTCTCCCCTCTCCCCGGCACAGGTCCCATATAGGAGGCGAGTGACCCACTTTTCCTCCCTCCCTCTGCTATTACCTGGAGAAAATAGGCTGATGTGGTGTGTGTGAGAGTGTGTTGAGTGGGTGGTTTTGCAGTGCTGAACAAAAGCTTCTCATCTTCACTTACTGTTCAGAGATGAAGGAGTAACTAGGACTCCAAAGAAAGCATGTCCTTTCTTATCAAATACTATTGCATGTGAGATTGTTTCTCTAATGGCTTGTCTTGACCTAGTCTATGTTTTGTTTCTGTGCTGCTGAAGTGGATGTTAACTGAGCTCACTCAGATCTAGTGCATTATCGGGGGGGATCTCTTTGGGATGGCAGTGTTGATTTGAAATCAACTAGACATGCGACAAATTTGCCAAACAAATGGATAATTTGCCGAACACTACAAGACCAAATGAAAGTGATGATAACGCTTTGATTCCAACGCGCCGGTGTAAATTGTTTACAATCCTCGGGGCTTTATGGAAGGAAGAGCCATCGCTTATTGTTTTCACAGGATCAGATTGATATTGATCGTCTCTGACAGCTAGCATCATGGTACTTAGCGGCAGTGACCATTTTCTCTTTGGCCCTGCACTGACTCCCCCTCTGTTGGATCTTTTTGTCAGCCGTGTAGCCAGCTCTCTTTTTCTGCCTCCTTTTACTACCCTCTTAACATGTACTTCATTTTTTATGTCCTTTCCACTCTTTGTCTGCTTTCTTCTCAGGCCTCACTTGGTGACAGATTACATGGGCATCAGGAATGAGAGCTTTATGAAGATTGCTGCCGTGGGGACGTGGATGGGAGACTTTGTCACAGCGTGGATGGTGAGATCTCAACTCTTGAGGCCTAAACAATAGATAGTGTTGCTGCATTTATTAAAAGGTTGTATTTAATTTAAAAATTAAATTCTACAATATTATTAAAAACACATTTGTATACAATTCTCTTTTAGCCATGCTAGCAGCTTGGTATTGTAACTTGCAAATATTCATGGTCCCCAGATGACGAATCCAAAGTGATTTTGGTGAACGCTTCACTTATCATGCAGCTCCGACAGGTTGCAATTTACCACTTGTTTGACACTAATAATTTAACCATAATTAATCAACACATTCCAGCTGTTATTGTTTTGTTTGTTTACTTTCACATGAATTTCGTCTGTTGCCATCAGGGCGTAGATATGCTCTACCTGATCAAAGGACTAATCGCTTTTCAAAATCTTTCATCCCTTCTGCACTCAAACTTTTAAATTCTTGAAAGGCTTTTAACTTGATTATTTATTTATTTATTTATTATTGTGATGCTATGAACTATTTATAGTGTAAATTGGAATTATCCACATCTGTGCTCCCGGGTGCATCTGTGTGTTTTCTTCTTGTATGTTCCTGCCTGTGTACATGACATAAGCTGCTGCTCATAACCAATTGCCCCTTTCGGGATTAATAAAGTTGTTGATTGATAAACATTAGCATGCTACACCAACATGCTAAACCATTTTTTTAGAATTTGTTTTCCCATACCTTACCATTAGAACTTTAACCATGTTTTACTATTTATTAATAGGCCACATTGTCATATTTTAGAAATTGTATACAAGTAATTGTTTTTTATGTTGGTACAAAAAGTATTAATATTTGATACCAAGCCCTCACTAAATAGTAGTATGTTGATTTGCCAAACACTTGCATTTTAACATTCTAAAAGTGTGTTAATAACATCCAGTAACAGTCACCGTAGCTAATGGCTAGCTGCAGGCTTGTTAAAATGCCGATGTTAGCACATAGGAATGCTAATTCTTCTTAATTTTCCCATCCCTACCATCTTTTTATCTATACCTCATGAAGTAATCTTGGCATTATGCTGATGAAAGTTAAGCCTCATCTGATATTAGATAGATAAGTCTGAAGGGATACATTGGAGATAGGTTTTAAGAGCTAAAGTACATTTGATACACCCTTTTAAATTTGCTAATCAGTAACAATGGCTTTACTCCGGTATCATCTGCATCACGCTCACTGTGTAGATGATTCATTGCCCCACTGATGGCATTCAAGACTATCATTTATTCATCCATAGTTCTCTACAAAGTTTCCATCAAAGATCACAAATGTTATTTTTGAATATATCAAAATCATATATGAAATGCAAAATGAAGCTATTAGTCACACACTTTTCTAATTACTATGCCAGGTATATCCTCTCCACTGATGTAAGGCACACACTGAAATGCGCGCCGCATCCAGATCAATCTAATACCAAATCTTTAGAGTAACATGCGGTTTGATCTAAGAAGGGTCAAAGGGAACAATGAATGCATGGGGGGGGAGAGAGTCTGTTGATGTAGAGACCTACCTTTGTTCATTTGTCAACATTAAGAGAGGAGGAGAGCTCCAGCGGGAGTGGACTACCTGTGGTGGGAGGAGTGGAGCTTTGGCACCGACATGCACACAGCTGAGACAACTTGACATGCTCCCTCACCGCTCACATTAGTATTCTACAGTACATACTGCAGAGAAGAGAGAGGGGGAGGAGGAGGGAGGTAAGGAGTAAGACACTGAGGTGAAAGGGAAATGTAGTCTGGTCAGAAGGGAGACGTGGGGGAGGCAGTAAGTGAGAAGGTGAGTCGGGGAGACAGAGGTGTGTGTGTGTGTGAGAAAGGAGAGTAAGTTGGGCCAAGGCAAAGTGCTGATTCTAGAAATTACTCACAAGGTTTTTACATTCGATTAATTCAACAAGGCACTTTGAAGATGACCTCTGTGTCTCCTCCGCCGAGCAGATTTACAGTGTGTCTTCCCCAGATGAGTGAACAGGAAGTGTCTGTTTTCGCAACGCTGCAACGGCGAAAACATCTCATACATTGCCTGATTCAAATCCTCTTTCAACACGAGCTACAGTTTCTGCAGTGAGGCGCTTTATTGACGAACTGACCTTGCTTCTGCAGTGGCTCCACACAAAGAATATAGTGGAATATTTCATACTTGTGTTTAAAATGATCTCTGAGTCTCTGTATCAGTCAGAAAATCTACTATCTATTGTAGTAATAACATTATCAGATGTTAGAGGCAGTGAAAGACAAGTACAACCACAACATTCATATTGAAACAAGTCGATATTTCTTAAAGGCAATAACACAGTCATTCGTGTGTAATCACAGATGTTGTGTTATTCAATTATTTAATACTTTGATAATGTGTTTTAATAATATGTATTATTAAAACAGATTATAATTGAAATGTTTGAGTGACTTGGAGGTGGATTTATGAATTTCAGCCGTTACACACTGTCACTGTTTTTACAATATTTTGTTCCTGCATTAGTGAGGTCAGGACTCTCAGGCCATTACATATGGAGCCTGGGAGATGGTTACCTTAGCTTAGCACAAAGACGAAAAGCAGAGGGAAACTGAAAAAGCCTGTCTCGGTCCTGTCTCGGTACAAAGTTGTAAAAAACGATCTACCGGATTAACACGTTGTATCTTGTATGGTAAATTAGAGGGGGGAAAAAGGTGAAAAGTGACTTCCAGGAGGTAAACGCACCTCGAAACGAAATTGGGAGGCAACAAGATTTAATGCGTCACATAACTTCACTGGTGCTGTAGGAATATTTTGTTAACTTTGAACACAGCCAGGTCTAGTCAAAGTAAAGCTGTTTGCCTACAATTTGCTAAAATAATCTGTCCTTACTTCCTCTAAATCTAATCCTCATAAGTAATGAAGTGATACGCATGTTTCTTTCTGCAGGTGACAGATATGATGCTCCAGGATCAGCACTACCCAGACTGGGGCAAAGCAGCCAGAAGGTTCTGGAAACAAGGCAACAACAGGATTGTTCTCTTCTGGTATGTTCTCTTCAAGATAAACTGTCTCTATGAGATCATGTGTATATTTTTTGCACATAATAAGATTTTAATCAATGTATCTGGCTACTGGCTACTGAAAATATGATATATTCTTACTGTGTGTGTGTGTGTGTGTGTGTGTGTGTGTGTGTGTGTGTGTGTGTGTGTGTGTGTGTGTGTTGTGTGTGTGTGTGTGTGTGTGTGTGTGTGTGTGTGTGTGTGTGTGTGTGTGTGTGTGTGTGTGTGTGTGTGTGTGTGTGTGTGTGTGTGTGTGTGTGTGTGTGTGTGTGTGTGTGTGTGTGTGACGTGGTCTCTCCAGCCCTCCGCAGGGTTACACACAGTCAATAGCCGTGTTAATCTTCCCTCACTCAATGTCAGCACCTTTAATTAGGAGAACAGGGAGAAAATCAATGGACACAGCAAGGTCACGGGGCAAACCATAACCCTGCTTTCTTACTTTCCTACCACAAGCTGTGACCCTTAAATAACTGCTAAACAAATGCTGCAAACCATGTCTGATATGCCCATTACCAGACAGCCAGTAGGAGCGTTCCCTGTTTAGATGCATTACACCACCAGTGCACGGTCCCAGCGGCGTTTATTCACCAGAGTGGCTCAGAGCTGTCAGTCAAACACGACATGTGAACGCCTCTCAGTGGTTCATTTCAGGGTCATGGTGAGAAGTGAAGGATGTAAAGAAGACATTGCGGTTGAAACAGTTTGACACTGTTTGATATTTACACAGAGAGGTCTCACACTTCACAGACAGTGAGTTTAACATGTCCTATCGCCGCATCGATTCACCTGCAATTAAAATGCAAGCAGTCAAATTGTTCTGTGACTTTTTCTGCAGCCCTTCATTTTATTGACACATGGCCCGACTCACACCGTCACAATCAATGCCGGATTTGACAAGCTTTCGTTTGAAATTCCGAGCTTGAAATATGATTGATAAATGCGTTGCTGGATGTATCTTATCATAATGCACCGAAGGGGTCAGGGACGAATTGTAGAGGACAGTGCCAAAAATCAGGCAAAGGACTCCCACAGCGGAATAATAAAAACCCTTTAAATGCTTCTCCCATACATTTGAAATGGGATATGAGCTGGCATTCACTATCTGCAATGCAGCCAGCCGATGTGTGGTGTGAGAATGCTCGCAACAGCACAGCAATCACAGGGTGACATTGAGACACAATGCACAGTGGAGAATAATACCAGCCCTTTCCTCATCGTGCCATTCTTCATATGGGAAATGTCCCAGTAAACAGTGAAGGCAGGACTACAGCAGTGTGACACAAACACAATTCAGAGAGTGTGAACGATTGCAGAAAAAACCCACAGCAATCACTGCATGCAGGTAAAAGATACTTTGGCTCATGTTAAATATGGAAATACATGGAAATATATATATGCAGTAGGGTTTTGAATTGCATTGTCTCTGCATCCACAAACAGACACTTTTTTCCTCCTTGCACATCCATCTTCCTCGAAGCTTTATCTTCTGCCATTTTTCAAATCCAGGTAAAATCGTTCTTCAACACATTATTGAGTCTGTAAGCAGAGGAACAGAATTAACTGATTTATCTACGTGTTTTTGCTTTTGACGTAGGAAAGGAACTGGAGCTCTTTGTCTTCCAAGATAGACAAAATTAACTGTTCACATCTTCTTCTTTATAGATATTTTAACGTTCTTTCATGGCCCGTCTCCTTTTGAATGTGCGTCAAACATTGATTTATATCCCCTTCACTGCTTGCCTCTTTTTACTTCCCCTCCTATCATCCCCTCCCCTTGGCTCTTTTTTCATTCCCTTTTCCTTTCCTCTCCTTTCTTTTCCCCTCTCCTTCCTTTCCTCTATTCTGCATTCCTTCCCTTTCCCTGCTTCCTTCCTGCTGCCAATCCTTCCTCTATTCTCGTCTTATTTATCTTTATTTGACCTCCTCTACAGGACTGTGCTCATCATTCTGACCTCGGTGGTGGTTCTGGTCATCAGTACGGACTGGATCAGCTGGGACAACCTGAACCGCGGCTTCCTGCCCAGCGACGAGATCTCCAGGGCCTTCCTGGCCTCCTTCATCTTGGTCTTCGACCTTCTCATTGTCATGCAGGTAGACCGCTCCCCTGTGGCCAATTAAAAGAAGGGATCTGGGACGTCTCTTGGCTTATTCCTCTACCCATCTTGCCAGTTCCCCTCCCTCCCCTGCTATTCATCAATGGGGCACTGCGGCACAGAGCAGAGACGGGTGTTTGATCACTCTCAGTTGGCATTCACACAAACACATGCACACGCACATATATACACCCACAAATATATAGACATACAAAGGCTTTTAATTCTTTACATTTCCTCTCTGTCTGTCCCTCCGTCCCTCTCTCCCAGGCCTCAGCCATGAACTCACCCTTTACTCCCCTGTGAGCCTGGTTTATTTTCTTTAATGATGACTCACAAGATTGGAGTTTTTCTCACTTTCTCTTTCCCCACTTTTTTTTCCCAGCCGATGTCCTCCCTCCCACAGGAGAGTGTAAATCAATAAAGCCTGTGTCAGTGGCTCATGCATATGCAAATGTGTTTGTCTGGGCATAACCACATATCTGTGTATTGAAGGGGAAAGAGAGTGGGGAAAAAGCGTTTTTTTTTCTCCCGTTGTTTTTTTACGCCCGGAGCTAGTAATGCCGGCCAATTATGTATGGGGTTTGACTTCCAGCCTAATTCAACAGGGCTCCTCCAAATGCTTAATGAACATATTTCACAAGGCCTTGTTGGTGGGTATTAGAGGACACGTTGCAAGACTAATATTTGGTATCCACTTAATATATGTTTCTACTCGGTTGATTATGCTAATTACTAAAAGCCTGCAAATTAATGGGAGAACATCTTCTAGTGTTATAAATACACCATTCCACAGAAACCTGGCAACTGCACTACTAGTATTCCTATGGCAATATGTGTTAGAGCAACTGCACCACTAAAAGTGACTTCTACACTTATTCATTGAAACTATTCATTATTATAAGAAGGGCTTGTGGCCGCTCTGGCCTGTAATTACTTCTCACTGTGGTGTTTTTCTCATTCATTTACCCAATTATTGTGATTATGCAGATATACAGAAACAGCTTATAGTCTGCATGCATTTTCTCGCAAAGATGCCAATGTCTTGCTGAGGCCAGCCTTTTTAGAAAAAAAGCCACAAATCTGATGTGACATTAAGGAAACGCTCCTTATTTTGACATCTCCGTTTCACTCCCTTAGACAGTCTGGACCAGCGACTCCCTCTCCCTCTAACTTGCTGGTATATCACTCCCCACTCGCATAGATTTGTTTACGACAGGCACTTTTCATTTTCTGCACTGTGTACAGAGAGCACGTTTACAACAGTTATTTATGATTTAGTTAGCCTGCGCTGTTAAACGGCCCAAGCACTGGAGGTCGACGCTGCATTCCACCTTTCAATAAAAATGCACCCGCCACTCTCCCAACAGCTCCATTCGCCTCCATCTTGGAGCACAGGGTGCCATTGTTAATCTCTCACCTTCATGAGAAAATCTGAGTGTTGTTGTTCTCAAACTAATTAATTCCACAATTAATGACCTGCCAGGATTTGCCTCCAAGCTGGGTTTTTCCATATTTTCGAGCATAATTGTACTATTTCTCCCAGCTGAATGTCAGATATCTATGCCCTTTGTGTATATGCATATACACATTTACATATGGGGATCATATGCCTATACACACTATCAAATTATTCTTCCCATATATGTCTTGGAGACTCCTTATATTCTGGGATAGAGGTGCATGACTTGAATACTATGCCTGTTAGTGCTATAGCAACAGATACTGCAGATATGGAAGTGGATGACTTAATTAATATCCAGGGGGCCATCAGCAAGCTGTTATGCTGTTCATATATATAGGCATGGGAGACTCTGGATCACAAGAGGATACATGGAATGTAACATGGTAATGTGAAGCCGTAGCTCTGTGCAAATAATGATAACCGAGGGGAAATGTTGCTAATATAAAAATTCTAAGATTATGTGTGCTTTTTTTGCTGTAATAGAGTGATAAAAGCTCCTATGCGAGATGATAAAGTCAGCTCAGTGGAAGGAAACGTTTCTGAAACATTTTAATTTTCATCGCTATCAGTGAGTGCCAGTTTAATTACACTCTTTCATTATGCAAAGTTAATAAATACAGTTTGTGTAGTACACATTTCAGTTTTAAAAGTAAGAATGTACTTACTGTAAAATAAAGATAATATGGCCTTATTTTCAATTTTTTACATTAACATTTTTTATTTAAGGAACCACCTTCAGCGTCAGATTTTTTTAAAACAGATGTTCTTATTGGATGTTGCAAATGATTATTCTATCAAACTATTTAATATATTACAAACATTATTTATCTTTTGAACACACTAACTGAAGCATATGTACCAAAATGTAGGAGGTCTTTCAGATTAACTCAATATTAACTGTTCTTTATGATTTAGGCTAAGTAACCCATTTACATTGTATTGAAGGGAAACTAGTTATTCACAAAACTGATCACAAGCCCAATAAAGGTTTTACAGATTTATTGACAAAAGGATTTTGAGAACATTGTGCTATCTACTCTACATGTTCTTGCCTTTATTTTTCTGTATTTATGTTTCTGTTTTTCATATGCACCTCATCAGGGTAGTGACTGCTATTAGCCACCAAATATAACGACACTCAAAAAGAGCTAAGCGGCACCACAAGGCATGGGCAGCTTCTAAATGTCCGTTTTGGTTGCGTGTTGATGTGTTTTGACATGTTGAAATCCCAGTGCACATTAGAACACTCCACAGTCCTGTAAACACACAGTGTAGTCAACAGCAGCTGGCACCAGGTCTGACCTCCAGTCAGTGCACGAGGACACTCCACAGGGACTGAACATCACCTTATATGAGAAAGGCATTGTTCAACAACCAATAAAGCACAATACATGGCTGTTTTTTATCATGAGAATGTGGATATTTGAATGTCATCAGTGTTCTACAGCGGAGACATTATCACAGTCACAAGGTACATTGATATGCTTGTGTGTTGTGTTTCAGGACTGGGAGTTCCCGCACTTCATGGGTGACCTGGATATGAATCTTCCAGGAATGTCAACTACGCATGTGAAGGTCAAGCTTCCTCTCTGCAAGAGTATCTTTAAAGAGGAGTACCACATCCATATCACAGGTACATGCCGACACGTGCACTTGTTTCTTGGGAAACCCTCTACCTTTACTCAATAGTTTAATCAAATATCACCCGTATTGTTTGTGATTACCCAGCAGAAATAACCCGATTAAATAGCAGAAGAAAGAGAAAATGTCCACGGTATACTGTAGAAAAACTTAGAATTTGGTCTAGTTTTCTCCCTGCTCTAGTTTTCCATTTCCCTCTATGTGGGAAACAGTTTGATGATTAAACCACAGCATCCATTTATAATACATGTGTAGCGATCTGACACACAGGTGGCTCCACCGCTGCAAATGTGTTTCCCGTTCCTCATGTTCCACCCTGCCGTGCGAGTCGCATCGCTCATCGTCTTTCCCGTCTCCGCGTCTTAATGTTCTCGGCGAGCGAGTGTATTTCCCATTCGTAACCATCTTCCCGCTTTCTCCATTTTGTTCCACCGTGTGCACACGCTGACTCACGACTATAAAGAGAAGGCAAAACCAATGTTCCCGTGCTAAATGTTAAGCTGTTCAAACGTTCAGTGATTCGCAAGAGGTTGTTAACCCTAATGCATTGCATATCCATTAAGCATTATGGAAATGGCTCCGATGCGACGTGATTGGTTTAACTAAAAGCTTATTAACAGCATATCTCAGGGAGGGTAAAGGGAGAGGTGTCACGTATACCCCGGGAGACATCTGCCCGCTATCAGTCAACCTGAGGAGATGGCTGTCTCGTGATAATGTAGTGATCTCGTTAGAAGATACTGTTGAGGGAGTAGCGCTTACAAATGGATCTGTGTCTCAATGCCCGGTTATATGCAGAGGGAGGGGAGTTCCTGATAAAATAAATGTGACAGCATATCCGTCTGTCTGCCTCTGCCCTCTATATCTTGTTTGTATTTGTATGTGCTATACATCAATGTGTTGTTTTCTCTTAACTTTCTGTCAAAGATAGCCTTGTTTGTATTCTAACAGAATGTCTCCTTACAGGTAAGTGGTTCAACTACGGTATCATCTTCCTCGTGCTGATCCTGGACCTGAACATGTGGAAGAACCAGATCTTCTACCAGCCCTACGAGTACGGTCAGTATGTGGGCCCCGGTGAGAAGATCTTCACAGTGGAGGAACCAGAGACTCTCCGCTTCTTCAACCGGAGCACTCTCACCTACGAGTGGCGCTCCACCAACATAAATCCCGACAGCAACCTAACCTACGTGGAGCGGGACATGTTCCTCCACAGCCGCTGGACCGGATCCGGCCTGGACATCAAGTGCCTGGCCTTCATCCCCAGCCTGGCTGCGTTCGTCCTCTTCGGGTTCTTCGTTTGGTGGTTCGGGCGATTTCAGGACAGCGAGACGTTCCCGGAAAATCCGGACAAGTCGTATGAGAGGATAAAGAGGAAGTCGCCGTCAGAGTACAGCAAAGAGATGGGAGTGACGCCAGAAGAGGTGCCCATGAACATGAGTGACAGTCTGAAACGAATTGGAACGCCAATGCTTCTCTCGGTGGACGGGCAACATTTCGGAGCGACGCCCTCTACGAACTCAACTATCTCCATGGAGACCCAGGAGACACATCCGAGCATCGTGATTGACAGCGCAGAGCAGGAGGAACCAGCTGTCTCTTTTGATGTCCACAAACTCTCTCCGTGACCTTATGAACTCCTGAAACTTCATTTATAAATGAGAGCTCAAGATTCAGTCGGTCAACATCTTAAGACGTCTCTTTTTCCTTGGACAAGACCAAGCTTCAGTAGAAGTTGACCAAAAACTGTTCATGAGATTTGGAAAATATGGACAAAGTGATGTTCCATGATCACAAAGGCCAGTCCTGATGGCTGTATTTGTTTGAATATATTTTTCTAAATCTATTTTTTAAACAGCACCGAGTCTGATAACAAACACAGAATGCAAAACTTTTAATTGACATGGTGCTCGCTCGGGTTTTGCATTTTCATAATTCAATTTTGTCACGGGGAAGCCATTGTGGTGCCTATATACCAGAGGAGTATTTATACAGTCATGACATTGCAGCCAGGTGGAGTTTATCGTATCACACCAATGTTACAGCTACACTAGTGCCTTGATATTTCATATATAACCAGATACAGACTGAAACATATTCAGTCTATGCTACTATAGGCAACAAAATGGAAGATGTCCAAGTTACAGTATGCTTTAACGTCTTATTTATGTATCACCTGGACAATTGTTACCTTATTTTATCCTATGGCTTTATCATTTTAATGTATTATCATGTGACGTCAATCTCACTCCCACTTCTTGTTAAATGACATGATTATGAACATTGATGACCTACATTACATTACATGTTACTTGTTAGACGCTTTTATCCAAAGCGACTTACATACTCAATACTGTGGACAATCCCCACAGGAGCAATTTGGGGTGAAGTGTCTTGCCCAGGGATACAACGACATGCTGACTGCAATGGGGTTTGAACCTGTGACCCCCTGCGCACAACCCACTGCGTCACACGCCGTCACCAGCGCCATATAGACTGAACATGAACCACGTGACGATAACCGTTTTTGGACTTCCGTTGTCGTAACTCTTCTATCTATATGGCGCTGGCCGTCACCTATTCATATCCTCTCTCTTGATATTAGTTACAGAGATATTAAATGCAATCAGCTAACATCAAATAGCTAACCAACAATCCACCTCATGATTGCTCGTGTGGCCGCTGCAACTGGACTGAATACCAACACAGTCAGAAGGGTGGTTTTGCCCTTGGCATAAACACGCCATTGAAGTGCAGAGGAGGCTTCTGCTCCAAAGCTCAGGATTTCTTTATGTCTAGATAAACCTTAAAAGGTTTAGAAGCAGTATTTTCAGACATGGTAAATGCATGAAGACTTATTTATTTATTTATTTATACATTATCCTAGTGTTAAAAAAAAAGAAATATGATGTTCAAACACAACTGAAACCTTCAGCATTTATCTGGCTTGAAAAGTATTCACTGCCTTTCCACATATTCTCCTATGCTACCAAATCTCATTTATATTGGGAGTTTTTGGTCCAAAAAGCATGCCCTTCAGTTTTTTCTGTGAAGTGCAAATACTAACTCAATTACCAAATTACTAACTAATGATTTTTTAGGTGTGGCACTTTCAATAAGTAAAAGTAATTTGACCAAAGATACTGTACAACATGTTTAAGTGTTCTCAACAAATAATGCTGCATAAGTTGATATGCTAATTTAAAGGAGCTATATTCACGATAGACAGAGTGGAATGATAGTATGTGTTATTGCACCACTCTGCAATGTCTGCATTATAATGGACTGTAATGTAGCTACTATAATGTCCTGGAAAATGATTTCCCAAAAACAGAGAAATATCAAACACTAACCACATCTTTTGCTTCCTAACACAGTTGTGACAGAGTTTTGTTCAAACATTATTATAAGTAATGAGCCTGGGGTGTGCCGCCAGAAGTTACAGAGTCCTGCATAATTTAACTTTAATCATTAATGACTCAATTTTCTTTTTCTGTCTTTACATGATTTTTTTACTTACGTCATAATGCATCTTACATTTAATGTGTCTGCTTCTTTCCATTTACAGTTTTCATTTCGGAGTTGCTCAAATTTAAAGACATGTGTGTTATTTTGAGATGTGTTCATAAGCAGCAGCTGTCTGATCTCTGATTGGTCAGCTCCCATGTATTGGCAGCAGTCTGACCAATCAGAGCAGCTTCTCTGTGTGTTGGATTTCATTTTTAGGTGTCACACTGCTAACATTTCTTTAAAAAGTTAGTTAATACACCAACTAAATGTGCCTCGAATTAATGAATTGAATAGTTAATCAGTGTAACATATTTTTGATGTGATAATTTGTTAATTTATTATATTTAATACTGTAAAACGTAATTATTATTACGGTTGCACACCCCTGACTGTGTGTGTGTGTGTGTGTGTGTGTGTGTGTGTGTGTGTGTGTGTGTGTGTGTGTGTGTGTGTGTGTGTGTGTGTGTGTGTGTGTGTGTGTGTGTGTGTGTGTGTGTGTGTGTGTGTGTGTGTGTGTGTGTGTGTGTGTGTGTGTGTGTGTGTGTGTGTGTGTGTGTGTGTGTGTGTGTGTGTGTGTGTGTGTGGCCGCCTTTGTGTGTGTGGGTACATTGTGGAGGTGTGTATTTGTGTCTGTAAAGGATGTTTTATACAAAATAGTGCATGTTGTGTGCGTGTCTGATTGTGTGCACTTGAGGCTTGAGGAGGGCGTAGGTGTTTGCTACACTTGTTTTTTGACAAAGGCCATTCTGTGAAGAGGTCAATTTATTTAGCATAATTGGTTTGCAGCTTTTGCTTCTGTAATTATCCTTTTATACATTACAGCTCTTTGAGGACATTAGTGTCTCACCAAAGGCCAGCAGTTCTCTGGACTTGAAGAGTGTAATCTGTTTGTTATGTATTGTGTTTAGGTTAAAAGTGAGGCCTTCCTCTTTGTTGTTTTCATTTAATTGTGTTGCAAAGCTGACACTTCCTTCAGTCCCTTTGTGTTTGTGCTTTTTACTTAAAGCAGAGTAAATCTTTTGTCAGTGTTTGCTCAATGTATGTCTGTTGAACCTTGTGTTGACAATAAATTAATACATTTGTTATATACACTATGGAGCTTTTTTGACCCCGCTGTTTTATTCAATAACATCAGAAAGTCTTAAAACAAGGTTGCTGAAATGGTTATCAAGTAAAGTTCTCTTTTTTTTTTTAATATGCTTGGGAAATGGTTGCCAAGCAACAGCACAGGTCAAGCTTCTTGCAGCTGCTGACCCAATTAATACGGCGATACGAGAAATAATGATACTATCTCCACAAGGTCTCTTGAATATATAGCCGACATACACATGGCACCCGGCTCAGATTAGTATGAGGACGGCTCGGGGAGGGTCCGCTGCTTGATTTATGCCAGTGGGAAACAATTTGAATTTGTTATGTGTTCTGTTTCCCAGCAGGATTAGTTTACAGAACATCTATTTGTGAAAATGAGTTATAGATTGAATTAAAAAATCTGAGGAAGGAAAAGTGAAGAGACAGAATTGGTTTAAGGCTCTCAAGCCGGGGTCAGGACCTCTCCAAGGGGTTATCGTATTAAACTGACGGGTCGTGAGGTTGCTCTGCTACAAAAAATGTAATTAATTATTATTGTAACTTCAAAATTCAAAAAAAAATTCCCTTTAAAAACGTTCAAAAACATGAAAAATGTCTCATGTAAAAAAAAATAGGAAAAAAGGAATAGAATAGTATATTTTAAAAAAAAAAGAGTCATATAGTATGTAGAAATATGAAAATATTCATCGTATGGTATGTCGAAAAAGATTTTGAAAAAATACTATGACTTAAGACCAAGGGGTAGACCTAGGACCAGGTGGAGGGATTATATCTCTTCGCTGGCCTGGGAGCGCCTTGGGATCCCCCAGTCAGAGCTGGTTGATGTCGCCAGGGAAAAGAAAGTTTGGGGCTCTCTGCTGGAACTGCTACCCCCGCGACCCGACCACGGATAAGCGGAAGAAGATGGATGGATGGACTATGACTTAAGTCATGCTTTAGTATTTAAAAAGACAGTTTTAAATAATACCATAGTATTGCATGTCAAAAATAACATTATAAAATGTTCATAAAAAGGGAACCAGAAGCCAAGAATCCTGTGAAATGTATTTGTATTTACAACATTGTATTACATACCTCACCACTCGCTGTAAATTCTCCCTAATAAGAGCATCTGCTACCTGCCTTTAATGTTAAAATATAAAACAATCCCTATTGTGTGAAGGCCCAGCAGCTGCATCAACACCTGAGGTCTGGGAACATATTTTCATTTTCAGAGTATTAGCTGTTTGTCTGAGGCCTCTTCCAAGTCTGCCATTGGGCTGAGAGATGAGATATTGATTTCTGGAGGGCCTTGCAATAATTGAGAGAACACATCAAAACAGGAGTTTCAAAAATGTTTGTGGGGTTTGAAGCCTGATGCCCGACGTTGTGTTAACAGTGTATTGACTAAATCCTGTTGGCAGCGTTCGGGATCGATTGCATTCGGCCTTTGATTACATTTTCAAAAAGCTGCTTTTTTTCATGACTTTGGATCTTATGTAGACATTTTGAGGGGGGGGGGGGGGTTACCTTAGTGGGTGATTGGCTAATGGTTACACAAGCCAAAACATCGTTATGACATCATAAAGTGGCCAAAATCTGATCGGCTCATTTTCAGACAGGTTTTTATATAAATGGATCAGGACAAAAAGAGAGAGAATCTTTTTCCTGAAACTTTCAGAATCTCTTAACGCAGAGGGGACGCATGTGTATGTATAAAATACATGAAAAATAGGATAATAGGTGACCTTTAAACTAGTAGGGTCGTGTCTAAAGCTAAATGTAAACCCGAAAAATCCCCCAGAGGAAGCGAGTCATGACTACAGATCAACTGGAATCTCCTCTACTGTCTTTGAGCTATTCTCCAATTAGATCAGTGTATCATGTCCTGGCAGGGCCCATCACTCTGTGCTGACAGCTGCGTGACTCTGGGAGACCCTGTGAAATGTATCAGTGCAGTCAGTCGCAGCCAGAGAGCAGGTTTCCCCCTCTTCCTCCCCCCCTCAGCCCTTCCTCCCCCCAGGGAAACGCCATTCTTCTGTAATTCCTCCTTCTGGTTTCTGATACCTAACAGAGCGACATATGGCACAGATATATTTCTCAACACATCCAAAAACTCACTTAGAGGACTGAATCCCAAGACAGGGGTTTGTGATAATGATGTCTGCTTTACTATTCCTCTGTGGGGGAAAGGGGATTTGGTTTTATTCTAATTCTTCTTAAGTCCAATTTAGTGAATAATTAAGTGATGACTAACTGTTGCACTGCTTTAAGAATGTGTAGCAGCCAGGGACAGAAACTACTATTGAAGAAGTGTTGCGTTTTAGATATTGTACTTATTTAATTTGACCATTTTTGTCACCATTTTGGAAGACCTTTCTCACATTGGAAAACATGACACACGATAACAGAGAGGGTGAATATGCATGTATAGGAAAATAATAGAGATCTGTTGTTCTGTTACAAAACATATACAACTATTCAACACATTCATCCTGAGCTTGTACCTTACATCTTGACTTTGGAAATGTTATTGGAGGACTCTGAAGGTTAAAAAAAGGAAACAGATTTCAGAAATGTAAGATGTAACAATGCAAAGAAACAAAACAAAAATGAAGTTTGAAGAAAGTGTGATTCACGGTCCGTTCACTAGCTTTCATTACTTCCAATGCTCAAACAGAAGTAGCTCTCTGAATGTGGATTTTTAAGATGTTTCCTTGATCGTGCTTAATGATAACTGTTATTACAATCTCTCCTTAAGGGGGCATTTAGTAAATGTGAGTATAAAATGTTATTGCAATAATCGTCGTTGGTATAACCTCACAGTACAGAAAAAGGCAGATATCATCAAAGCCAGGAGGATTCATCATCTGGGAACCATGAATTCAAGATTAAATGGCAATATTTCCTATAGAGGTTGAGATATTTTATTCTTAACCAAAGTAGTGGAACAAACTAGGCTGGGCTAATAAAGACCATGTTCAGGACAAGCTTTATGAATCACTTAACTGGCAGAGCTCATCAATACCAACACATGTAACATCTGGTTTTCAGACGTAACATGGGGGTACAGCTATAGCAACAGCCAATGATTTGTCTCATAGTTCAATTAGCCAAATCCTAGTACAGACATGTAAGCAGAGTGAATCTGGTCTTGATGAACGGTGTCTATCCTGATTGTTTCTGCTTCATCTGCAGCTACAGTCCAATCTGGAAAACAAGCCTCAGTCACGGTGGTACTGTGGAGCATTTATATGTGTTTGTTTACATAAAGACAAATATGGCAAAAGGGATCTTCCTTCTTGCTCTGGCTGAGACTCTATATGTTTGTGCATTCAGTCAATCCTGCAGATTTCAGAAAACAAACAAATAGAAGCTCAGAGTTTGCACTGCAGTGATATGAGGTAAATATTCATCAAGTCAATGATTCACACTACACTTGTTCCTGTGATGTTTCTATAATTACTGGATGGATAATAATTGCCAAGTGATTGCATTCCCTTCCCTCTTTTTTTCTCCACAGATATCTCTTTAGTGAATTTTACAGACCAATTAGGTCCATTTGAAGAATGGAAACTCACTGAAAACATAATGAAAAAACTGTCATAAAGCAAAAAAAGATTGCATGCTAATACAGTAAACTCTTAACTGAAGTAGAACTGAGCTTTTTCTCTTTTGCCCCGCTCGGAAAGCCACAATGATATGTGCCGTCATTACCGGTGAATATAGGACAGGCAGAGAAGTGGACTCCCTGTGGGTGCCGGCATCTGTTGCAGAGGGTTCAGCACTGCCATGGAAAATTGGACATTTAGGAGCCAGCTGGAGGACCAGTGTGCCCCACTGTGCCCCCCCCCCCACACACTCAGGTGCCCACTGGCTCCAAGCCACCACCAGCTAGAAGCCACTGGACCAAAGCAGGCCAGATGGTGCCCTTGCCAACCTGCGAACTGCCCACCGTCCCCTGCCCCACCGTCCATGCCCTATCATTCAACTCAGGGATGAGTTTGAAGTCAGCACCTGAGGTAAAAAAGTTTGTTTTGGGGAGGAGAGTAGCAGAAAAAGCTCAAGTGAGTGGGGAGTATGTCGGCATATAAATGGGCCCCATTACGCTGTGTGTTTGTTAATGTAAGCAGCTGCAAGGTAGAGTCTGGGAATCAGTCGGTGGAGGAGAGGACGCTCCACGGGGAAATAAAGCCATCTTCAGGCTGAGCTCATTTGTCCGTGCCTGTGAACTGATAGATAATTATATTAGAAGCTTTAAGTGCCGCTCTGCAATACAAGTATTACCACCATCTCCAGAGGCGCAGGACAAAGTACGGAGGAGAGGAATCTGTGGGCTACAACGACGGTGGTCCTTCCCCTGCATCCTAATATGTGGATGTTGGAGTGTATTCAACACAAGGGGCCTCTTCAAA